ATCCGTGACTTCAAGCTCTATTATAGAGCTATAGTCCTGAAAACAGCTTGGTATTGACACAAAAATAGATAGGTAGACCAATAGAATGGAATTGAAAACTCTGATATTAACCCACACACCTATGAACACTTGAGTTTTGATAAAGAAACTAAAATTATACAATTGAAAAAAGAAAGCATCTTCAACAAATGGTGCTGGCATAACTGGATCCTGGCATGTAGAAAAATGCAGATAGATTCATGTCTATCATCATGCACAAAACATAAGTCCAAATGGATGAAAGACCTCAACATAAATTCAGTCACACTGAACCTCTTAGAAAAGAAAGTGGGAGGCACCCTTGAAGAATTGGTATAGGAGACTGCTTCTTGAACATAACACCAGTAGCATAGACACTAAGATTGACAATGAATGGGACCTCCTGAAACTGAGAAGCTTCTGTAAGATAAAGGATACAGCAACAAGACAAAAAGGCAGTCCACAGAATGGGAAAAGATACTTTCTCACCCCACATATGACAGAGGGCTGATCTCTAAAATTTACAAAGACCTCAAGAAGCAAGTCTCCAAAACACCAAAGGACCCAATTAAAAAGTGGGGTAAAGAACTAAATGGAGAATTTTCAATAGAGGAGTCTAAAATGGCTGATAGACACTTAAGAATGTGCTCAACATGCTTAGCCACCAGGGAAATGCAAATGAAAATAACTCTGAGATACCATTTTACTCCTGTCAGAATGGCTAAAATAAAAAACACCAATGACAGTTTATGCTGGAGAGGATGTGGAGAAAAGGGAACACTCCTCCACTGCTGGTGGGAGTGCCAACTTGTACAGTCACTTTGGAAATCAGTACAGAGATTCCTCAGGAAAATAGGAATCAGTCTACCACAAGATCCGGCAATTTTACTCAGGCATATGTCTAAAAGATGCACATTCACACAAGGGCATCTGTTTCACTGTGTTCATAGCAGCATTATTTGTAATAGCCAGAACCTGGAAGCAACCTAGATGTACCTCAAATGAAGAGTGGATAGAGAAAATGTGGTGCATTTATACAATTGAGTACTACTCAGCACAAAAAAAGCAATGGAATCTCGAAATTTGTAGGCAAATGGATGGAACTAGAAGAAACCATTCTGAGTGAGGTAACCCAGTCACAAAAAGACAAACATGGTATGTACTCACTAATATATGGGTTTTAGGCATGGAGCAGGGAAGTGCCAGCCTACAATCCTACTACCAGAGAGTCTGGGAAACATGGAGGACCCTTAGAGAGATATTCATGGTACCCCAGAGAAGGGGAAATGGACAGAATCTCCTGAGTGGATTGGGAACATGTGGGGGAGGGGAGAGGGAACTGGGAGAAAGAGAGGGGGAAAAAAGGAGGGGAGAGGAGGACATGGGGGAGTAGGAAGGTTGAGTCAGGAGAAGAACAGAGGAGAGCAGGATGAGAGATACCATAATGAGGGAGTCATTATAGGTTTGAGGAGAGATCTGGCACTAGTGCGATTTCCAGAGATCTACAAGGATGATACCAATTGGCAATCTAAGCAATAGTGGAGGGGCTACCTTACATGCCCTTCCCCAATAATGAGATTGACAACTACCTTATATGCTATCCTAGAGCCTTCATTCAGTGGCTGATGGAAGCAGAGGCAGACACCTACAGCTAAACACTGAACTGAACTCTTGGAACCCAGTTGCAGAGAGGGAGGAGGGATGAGCAAAGGGATCAAGACCAGGCTGGTGAAACCCACAGAAACAGCTGACCTGAACAAGGAGGAGCTCATGGATCCCAAACTGATGGCTGAGAGGTCAGCATGGGACCGATCCAGACCCGGTAAATTTGGTTGTCAATGAGGAGGCCTTGACAATCTATGGGACTTCGGGTAATAGATCAATTTTTATCCCTGGCATATGAATAGACTTTGGGAGCCCATTTCCTATGGAGAGATACTCTCTCAACCTGGACACATGGGGGAGGGTCTAGGCCCTGGTCCAAATGATATGACAGACTTTGGAGATCCCCTATGGAGGGTCCATTGGGTAGGGGGTTGGGGGTTTGATGGGAGTCAGGGGAGGTGGGGAGGGACAGGAGGCTGGGATTGACATGTGAAGCAAGCTTGTTTCTAATTTAAATAAAAAGAAAGTAAAGCTATAAATATATTTTCATACTATATTTTAATTTCCTGATTTTCAGTTCTTGGCAGGTAAAGCAAACAGAATGTAAATAGGAACACAAGAAATAAAGTGACACTACTACACAATGCTATAAATTCACTTAAAGTAACTCTTAGGTCTAAAACAAAAGAAAAAGAAAAAAGAAAATTTCGCACTTCATTCAGGGAAACAGGTAGGTTAACTGAAGTTAGCTCGTCCTCCTTCCCTCCAAGTTCAATCCCCAGTCTCATCCCCACCCCTTTAGCGGAGCTCCCTTTCTCTGTCCCCATCTCCAGTGGATCACACAGATCATCCCCACAATTTCTGTTCCCAGACACATTGCTTTGTCCTAGGCCCCAACTCAAGCAGGCATTCCCCTCCACCCCCTTTGAACCCACAGGCCCCTCCTGCCAGCTAAGCAGGGCTAATAGAAAATCATTCACCTATCCCTCCATTCCTCCAAATCCAATCCTCCAGTCTCATCCTCAGCTTTGTAATAGACCACCTGTGTGGTGTCTTTCCAATTGCTGTCCTATTCTTAAGGGCCTAAGCAGATCCAGGTAGAAAACCCTGCTTTCCTCCCTTCTTTGTACCCCCCTCAGGTCCCCTCTAGCCCAACCCCATTCCTAAGTGTAGGCTCCCGATACCTAGAAACATATTTTACCTAGAACCTAAGTGGACACACCTAGGAGAATCCCGGAAAAATTTTCTACCAGGCAACACACAGCCACCACACACTCCTAAGAACCAGAGAGGGCATCAGAAACCAAGAAACTTAACACCTACCCTACAAAGACAAAAACAGGTATCAGCACGAAGATTACTATTTTCCCAAACCCAGATGCCTAAATGCCAGTGTGAAAACACAATCAATAACAGTCAGGACAATATGTTTGCACTAAAGCCCAACAATTCTACCACAGCAGGCCCCAAGTATTATAGCATAGCTGAAGCACAAGATGAAGATCTTAAAACACGCCTTGTAAATATGATAGACATCCTTGAAGAGGAAATGAATAAATCCCTTTAAAGCATAAGACAACACAAACAGTGGGAGGAAATTAATAAAACAGTTCAAGATCTGAAAGTAGAAAGAGAATCAAGAAAAACAAAAGTGAGGGAGATCTGGAAATGAAAAATTTGGGAATATGAACAGGAAACTTAGAGACAAGCCTCCCCTCTCCCCAAGAATACAAGAGATTGAAGAGAGAATCTCAGATACTGAAGACATGATAGAAGAAATGGATGACTCAATCAAAGAAAATGCTAAATCTAAAGAACTGGAACAAAACATCTAGGAAATCTGGGGCCCACAGAGGCTAAAGAGACAATAATGGAACCTGTATGGGTCTGAGCTAGGTTTTCTGCATCTATTGTTACAGTTGTATAGCATGGATGTTTTTGTGGGACTGCTTCATCCAGCCTTGATAGGAGGGTTTGTGCCTTGTCTTATTGTAACTTGTTAAGATGTGTTCAGTTGATAATCCTGAGAGGACTACACTTTTCTGAAGTGAAATGGAGAAGTAATGAATCTGGGGGAGAGAGGAGGCGGGAGGGGCTGGGAGGAGTAGAGGGAGGGGAAATTGAAGGTGAGAAGTAATGTGTGAGAGAAGAATTAAAAAAAAAACGCAGGGCATTGGTAGCACACACCTTTAATCCTAGCACTTGGGAGGCAGAGGCAGGCAGATCTCTATGAGTTCAAGACCAGCCTGGTATACCGAACGAGTTCCAGGACAGGCTCCAAAAAAATGTCTCAAAAAACCAAAAATAAAGAAATAAACAACAAAACCCCCAAATAATCCTAAAAAATCCTCAACAAAATACTTCCAAACTGAATCCAGGAATACAACAAAAAGTCCATGCACCATAATCAAGTAGTTTTCATCCCAGAGATACAGGGATGGTTCAACATAGGTAAAATGATAAATGTAATACAACATATAAACAAACTGAAAGAAAAAACCCACATGATCATCTCACTAGATATAGAAAAGGCCTTTGACAAAATTCAATCTCCCTTCATGTTAAAAGTCCTGGAGAGATCAGGGATATACATGGCCCTAAACCCTCTACCTGGAAACTTTTGCAGCTGATGAACACTTTCAGCAAAGTAGTTGATACAAAATTAACTTAAAAAATATCAGCAGTACTCCTATATAACAATGACAAATGAACTGAGAAAGAAATCAGGGAAATAACACCTTTTACAATAGCCTCAAATATCTTGGGATATCTCTAATCAAGTCAATGAAAGACTTGTATGGTAAAACCTTAAGACATTAAATGAAGAAATCAAAGAAGACATCAGAAGATGGATTGGTAGGATTAATATAGTGAAAATGGCCATCCTACCAAAATCAATCTACATATTCAATGAAATCCCATCAAAATTCAACATAATTCTTCACAGAACCTGAAACAACAATATTCAGCTTCATATGAGAACACAAAACAAATCTAGACTAGATAAAACAATCCTGAATAATAAAAGAACTGCTAGGGGGTATCACCAGCTCGATTCTCAAACTGTACTACAGAACTATAGTAGTAAAAACAGCATGTATTTGTATTGTATCTAGGTACTATTACCATATATGAAAAGCGATCTTTATTTACAAAATATATTAAATTATTACATTCATATTTCTGATCTTATTTTTATTTTGGACCAAGAATATTTTAAACGACATTCATTTGTATTTATTTTTGAAACAATGCTACTTACAATTAAATTTCAGAAACGGAACTAACTACTAACTTAGAATACATAGAATTATGAAAATATATCAATAACTTACTATAGTAATTACCAGAAGCTTGAAAAATACTACTAATTTTACCTGAAGTGGGAGACTTGCAGCGCTCAAGTTCCAGGGGAACTGGACTATCGTTCAGCTCTGTTAAGCCTAAAAATATAATGGTGGGGGAATGAAGACAGAGAGAGAGGGAGAAGAGAGATAAATTTTGTTGACACTTTATAGGTAATTCATACTGTGTAATTACTTCAACCTTTTTAATTTGTGAAAACTACTTTACCATATCCATCTTACATTAATTACTTTGAAAAAACCTGTGATACAGGAATAAATGAATGACAACAACTTACTGATATACAAAGGGTAATTAAACATGGATGGTGTAAAGACAATTTTTTAAATTATTTACACTTAACTGCTTTAATAAATAACCAAATTCCTTAGCAAATATAACAAGAATAACAGGAAATAGAAAGTGCTTTTAAAAGATATAATACAATCTTGTACTTCAGGAGGTTTTTGATTTTTAAAGGATCTTTTTTTTTCTTGTTTTTGTTTTTTGAGACAGGGTTTAACTGGCACACATAGTGGTTCACAACTGTCTGTATCTCCAGTTCTAGGGGACCTGACACCCTCACACAGACATACATGCAGGCAAAACACCAATGCACATAAAATAAAAGTAAATAAATTTACTTTTAAAAAACTGGGAATTAAAAACATAGCCTTAAATCTGGAAGACAGATTATTCTCTAAAGTACCTGTCACACAAGCATGGGGACCTGAGTGTGAGCCTCAGAACCAATGTAAAAAAGCCAGGGATGGTGGCACATTATTGCAATCCCAGTGCTGGAGACACTGACTGTGCCAACAGACAATGTGGATTATTCCTAAAGAATGGCACTCGAGATTGACCACTGGCTTCCCCACGTACGCAGACATATGAACGTACACCTCCACGTGTGAGCACTTACACATGTAGGAGCACACACACAGCTAAGTTTCATTTACTTATTTCTGTATTGCTTACTGAACCTGCTGTTTGTCTAGCTTTTTAACCAGCAGTGGTGATCAAAATGGACTTAATGGTAAAACTATTCCCATGTGTCAAGTTACAATGTACCCCAAACTCATAGGGAAGATTTCATAATTATTAGTTAGTGCAATTATTAAAACAATAGTTATTTTGAAATACACATTTTTTCTGACTATGGAAATGGTGTTTTATTCTCAGAAAATTTGGAAAAAGTAAGAAACTTACTGAGGGATACAATTATATCCTAGATTTTTGCTCATTTTTCCCTATGATTATTTTTAATGCAACAATGTTTCATATTCATAATTTATATTTAGAGTTATTTTATAAGTATTTTTCACTTCATTTAAAAAACAGACAGGTCACCACAATGCTGTCATATAGTTTTTATGTGGCCCTGTATGGTATAATAATGCCAGTCGAGGCACATGTGCTGATTCCCATCACCTTATCTTCCTAGGAATTTTGCTCTTTTAGTATCTCCCCTTCTCCCTTATCACAAATCTCTTTCTGAATAGATTATTTCATGTTCACATAAGTATGTGGCATGATGTTTTCTTTAAAATGAGAATATAAAATTCCTTTTAACAGTGTATCCAATCCAAACACGATCCATTTGTTTACATCCTTCAAAGCCATGAGCTTTGAAAGCGACATGACTTAGTCCTGGCTTTTGGGGTTCTTCGTCTATGTATTCCTAGATAAAGGGGTCACTTGGCTTCCACCTGGCCCTCCCTTCCTTTTGCTGTAGTCTAGAATCCATCAGCACACGGAAGTCTTTTTCAGGTTCACCTCCTCTGTTACCCTCTGCCAGAGATAACCTTTTAATATCACTTTGTCATATATTTAAAAAAACAAACCGCTGTTTCTTTATTTTTTCATTTAAAAATATTGGCTTTGGTTATTTCTAGCAGGAAATCCATTCTAGTGCTCTGACTCTAGCTTGTTTGGAGCTGGAAACTGGAAGCTTGCAAGCTTCACTTACATATTTCCTTCTCGAATAACTTTTCTCTGATAAAACAAAAAGACAGAACTGTAATTAGCCTCTTATCTCATTTCTCCACCATGTCATTGCTACCTTTCAATTAGAAGAGTCTGTCTATGGATTTAATTATGTGTATTGTTAACAGTAACTGCAAGTAAATGACCAGGATTGTGTCTCTCACCACAGTATACTCAATGCCTCAGAAAGTTGTTCAACACAGTATTTGAGGGTTTGTGCCTAGTCTTACTGTGTCTTGTTATGCCATGTTCAGTTGCTGTCTCTGGAGGCCTGCTCTTTCTAAGGCAAACAAAGGAGCAGTGGATCCAGGGGATAGGGGAGGTGTGTGGGAACAGAGAGGAATGGAGGGAGGGATGTATTGTATGAGAGAAGAATAAATTAAAAAATGAATGAGTAGATCTTCTGTTTATCACAATTTATGCTGATATTTTCTTTTGTCTGAGACATTCCTTCTTTTCTTACTCCTTTTCCCTTTACTTTTCTCCCAGTATGGACTTTGTTTTCAGATGTTTGTTTTTGCCCTTCTTTAATACTTCTCTTACACCCACCTTTTCCTTTTCTTTATGATTAGCCTCTTGTCTCATTTTCTTGTTTTTTTCTTATTACATTTTGAGGACATCCTGCCAGAAAAATCTCATTCGATAAACACTGAAAAACTGAAATCTCAAAGGATCCTTTTTTGTATAATTGTATGTTGATATGTAAGCAAATGTTTCTAGCCACACTTTACCTTAAATGTATATTCAAAATTTCATGGCATACAATTCAGTCTTTAACTGGCAACAGTTCTGACATTCCCAAAAACAGAACACCAGGCACCAACAGGCTGATGGAGTTTTAACTCTACAACTTGCATACAATGAACTTGACACTGGAAGTTACTTCATCATCTACTGCTTGACTGCATCACCCATTAATAATAAACATATCTCATAGTTTATAGAGGTTCTTTTACAAAATCAACCAGAGGAGTTCTACCACTCTTTAAGGGAGGTAGACATAATGATGTTATGCTGTTTGTATATGAGAAGAAATCTCAGTTATTTAAGTGTCTTCTTTAATATTACAGTAACTAGTCAATAAGTTGAAAAAAAAGTAGAACTTGATCTAAATTTGACCATGTCTCTATTGCTCTTTCCAAAGCATTTCGCTGCTTCCACAAACAGTAATTTGTTAAATATGGGGATTTCCTTCAGTTATAAAATTGTATTATTTTATGATATAGGAGATTTGCAGGCATGAATTTAAAGACTTGAGAAAGGCAGCTTCTCAAATCCTAAATGATAAGATAATCAGGAAACTGAACCAAGAAAGATTCAAATTAAGATATTTCATCAAAACCAAAATCATTCATATATGAATGTGACATTATTTCAAGAACAAAATTGATATGATAGAATAAAAAACAAAAGGTTTTTGAGATATAAGAGACATTTATGGAGTATTTTATCTAATTCTTTATTTCAAAGATATGAAAAACAAATTCAAATTGTTTCAAATTTGAATATGTCATTTTATTGATAATAGGTAATATGGAGGAAGAGAATAGCTTTTGAGTATAGAATGATGGATTTGCTTCCCAATGTGACCAAAATTTTAAGAGGAAAGAAGAGGTACAGAATATCACAGTGGAGAGCACTTGGGTCTTCTTAGAGCCATATTGAGGTGAGTTTGTCTGACTGTCCTTTAGGGCTTTAAGACACAAATTTCATCTTTTTCAATGTTAATTTTCTCATCTATAGAGGAATATATCAACTAATACCCATTTCCTTCAAAGAGTTATAATGGCCATTAATTAAATAAACAAATTGACTAGCAGAGTGGTTCTCAACCTGTGTGTGAGTAACGACCCCCTTAAGGGTTGAATAACCCTTTCAGAGGGGTTGCCTAAGATCATCAGAATACACAGATGATTGATTACATTATGATTCATAACAGTAGGAAAAATTACAATAATGAAGTAGCAACAAAAATATGAACTGTATTAAAGGGTCATAGCATTAGAAAGGTTGAAAAACCACTGAACTAGTACAATCAGAATAGAATGAACTGTCCATAGAAATGGGATCTCTCTTCACAGATAGGAACAACACAGACATCGATTTCTAAAGGTTAGGAGAAGTACTTCATGTACTATATTATAGTAATGTAGGACTATATAAATACAATAAGATTACACCAACTAAAAATTCAAACTACATTTTTATATAATTTATTTCTAATAAATATATTTGAATCATTAAAAAATCAGCCTCCTTCATAACATAAAATATTTATCATCAAGAAAGGAAATTAGGACATCTGATTCCAAGTTGCAGAGCTATACCAGCTGCCACAGAGACCACTGGTAGAGACATGAATATTCTACTTAAGTTCTATATTGTAAGGTCCCAATTTTACTTCTCTTTTATGTAGGTCTCTGGTTAGAAAAAAATCTGATAATTATTTCAAAATTCCAATTAATTCATTATTGACAAGAGTTAACCCTCTTATTTATCCAATATGAGAAGTCCCCAAACTATTGATGGCAACAAGGTAGTTTTCTGTCATGCTCTATCTTACTCCATCATAATTTACTTGCTAAGCTCAGAACTTGTGCTGGATGTAGAGGATATAAAGAATTTAATTTTTTTTGTTTGTTTTACGACACAGAGTTTTTCTGTATTGTTTTGGAGGCTGCCAGTCCAGCCTGGCCTCGAACTCACAGAGATCCGCCTGCCTCTGCCTCCCATGTGCTGGGATTAAAGGCGTGCGCCACCACCGCCTGGCAAGAATTTAATTTTTTCAAATTTGAATTTTCATGTGTTGAATTTAAATTCAAAAGTAACTGATACAGTTTTCAGATTCTTCTGATGTAGCATAAAAGTATAAAATACATAGCTATATAAATGAATTGAAACAATACAGACATATTGTGTACAAGCTTGTATACCATAGGCACTTAATTAAAGAAATTGGCACAAGAAGGCTTATGGCAATAAAAAAGGTTTATTATAGGAAATGAAATGAGCAGGGCATTTATAGGGAGATGTAAGTAAGTCACAAAGGCAGGAAGATAGATTAAGCAGCATATTTTTATAGACACGAAAAAGGAAATTACATTTTGGATATAACCTTAAAAGTTTAGACCTTATGTTTATGGGGAAATATAAAAATATATAGCAATTTTCAAAGCTTCCTAACACTTTCTGTATGGCTGGTATCATGAATTCTGGCAGGCTCAGAGCCAGCATTTTTTCTCTGTACTCTACTTATCATAATAGCATCACACGTTTATTACAGAAAACACCAGGAAGTAAATCTATGAGAACATGGTAAAATTTGAATCTCATATTATTGAATATTTTGAGAGGCTAAAATGGTATTCACACGTACTGGGAACTACTGAAGGAAAGTTGCAAGCTCTGTGTGGTTTTGGAGGATGGATTTGAAAAAATGGTACAGAGTATGGATCAGTAAACTTTAAAAAAGGTACACAGAGACAGCTTTGTGGGCCATATGATTCTTTGATTACTCAGTCTTGCCACTGAAATGTAAAATCAACTATAGAAAACATACGAGTGAAGGAGTATAACTATGTCCCAATAAAAACTTATTATGGAAATTGGACTTTATATAATTTCAAAATGTCAAGAAATATTCTAGTATGTCTTCCTGCTTTATTAGTAGTAGAAGCCAAGACAGATGCCAAAAGTGACACAAGTGACCTGGAGCAGGGACAATTGGTAGAATCCGCAAAGGGGTGACTGGCAGAGTAGAAAGGTAGAGAGCATGAGCAAAAACAAGTCACATTGGGTACTCCTGGGAGACTGGAAGGGCTCACAGGAACCAGCTTCCTGCCAGGAACATTAAATTTTAAAAGTTTTAACTTTTATAATGAGGTGTGTTTTATTTAGCAACAAGGTGTCTGAAGAAATTCAGGTTACAAGAATATACATGTTCAAATGTGTGAGTGCTTATATGCATGTGTGTATATTTTTATGCAGCTATAATGCATGTTGTATATTTTGGCAAGTGACCTGATTTTCACAAAATATATTAGCATAAAATAAACATTTTTCATATCATTATCACTCACAGTATCACTCATATTGTTGTATCTTAATGACACACACCCTCAAGGCTTTCTGTACTAATGTTTAGAATTTCTCATTTCACCCACCTTTTCATCTTTATTTGCTACCATAGGAATTGTTAATATTATTTACCTTTTAGTTATGACTTTAATTCCTCTATGTCACAGGGTTTTGTGCCTAAATCACCATTGAACTGTGTTTGAGGGTATTCTATTTTAATAAAAGGCATCATAAATTAGGAATATTTAGTTATCCCCAAGAACTATATAAGATTATTTTTATTCTAGTTAAAGTTGTACAATGGTCAAAATCACAACACTGACAAAATGAGAAAGCATTAAATTGTTATTGACACAGTATGTCAGGTTCATAATTTCTAAGAATACCACAACTCTTCCTCCTTGAAAGGGAAACACAGTGACTACTGGACTAATAGGACATGGTTTGAAATGTACACCAAAACAAAGGGTGAGTGAGTGGGTACATGACAATAATGATTTGAAACATTGAAATCAAAATTATGAAAATTAAAACATCAGATCGCATTTCCATAACAAAACAAAAATTTGCATGCATGTTGAATGTGTTTTATGAAAAACACATTATTAAGCACTCATGAATGGATTTAACTCAAGCATTATCACTTATAAAAAAAAGGTATTTGCCTAATCTTTATAGAACTTACTCTGATAGGAAGTACGGATCCGTTTCGTTAAATCAGGATAAAAGTTAGACAGCCCACGCATGCAAAAGTTGTCTTTGGAACATGCCAGAACATCAGCATCAGCAGCAGGCAGAGGAAAGAGAGAAAATAGTCTAAAGTGAAAGGAAGTGATATCATACCAGAATCTAGAACAGCCAAGATGAAGAAATTGTAGCAAGATTAGGCAATTAAATTAGAGAGGAGATATTTTAAAAATAAATCAATTAGAAAGGTGATAGATGAATGGTGAGAATGCTGTAGCCATTTCTTTAACCAAGTATCTTATTATTCTCATGTGGTTTTACCATGGTGGAATTATTTCATTCGTAATACTATATAAAGTATTTTGTTAATATTAAGATTGTCATATTTAATCTTTCATCAATTAAAAAGACAGCTTAGATTCTTTAGTTTTCAATTTGTTTTGTAATTAAAGTAAGCTCTTATTATAGTTGCCTTATAAAATAAAAGAGAGACTGAGTTTACAACTTCATCAGTTTTTCCCTATATTTACACTACCAAAGTTCTCATCTGTAATCATTATGGTTGAAACTCAATGGGTTTGAATTACATTTTCACAGTCAAAACATTCACTCTTCTGTTCATAAGTGGATATTATCAGACAAACAACTGACCGCTGGCAGAGGCTCTACAGCTTTTCTACCCAATGGGTACTTTCAGCCTTGCAGCAGCTCCTCACTACCTGCCCCTAATAGCTTTCTGTCTTAGATGCTCTGAACTTTCAAAGTCAACTGCCTCTTCTCCAAACATGAAGGAATAGTTCTTACTCTGGTTTTCTTCCCAAAGCTAGTCGTGACAGAGGCAGAATCTGTAGAACTAAAATCTCCAGGATACTAAAGTAATACTGAATGCTGAGATAGATAACAAAAGCCTGGCAAGTTCTGAAGAACAAAGGCTGTGCCTCTGCAAAGGGTCTAAATTAGCAAGCATTAAAGTTTACAAAAGAAGAGTTAACTCTTAAAGAAGGATGTCAACCAAACACCAGTAGTCCAAACGGGATATTCATCTAATGCTAAAATTGACCCATCTGCAATTTAGAAAATGACAACTATCATATATTATAAAGTATTCTTTTTATGGGTATCTTTAGTAAAGCTCTCAATATTCAGTTAATTATTGGTAAAATAAGGAAATGAAAATGCACTATATAAATGTATAACACTATAGAAGCAAAGTTTTAAGCCAATTTTAACCAACTAGATAATAAAAATACAAAATTTATGAATGTTAAGGCCACTTATTTGAATTTATACTGAAATTCCTGTAAAATTTTGGATAATTCAGGCTGTCAAAATTAGGCATCACATCCTAATTAAACTTTACATTTATTTTCTCTTGTAGTTAAATTAATTTGCTTGTCCTGCTCAGAAAAATTGCCATCTTTCATAGAACTTAAAATGTCAGAGAATGGTATCTATTATGTTTATATACATATGTCCAATTTCATCAGCAGCAGCCAAACATGATGGTCACAATATAGTTACTTAAAAAATGAAAAGTGATTCATGACCTTAAACTGTATTTGAAGGGGCTTAAAGATATTAGAGGAAAGTCAAGCTGTTTAGTTCAAATTTTTAAAAACAGCTTTTCAAACAGAGTCCCAATTTTTATATCAATAGGATTTTATTTTCTGTTATTTCTTAGGAGTCCAACCGAAGAAACTTAAGATGCTCCCTAACTTCAACAGCAAACTGAACTTTAAGCATGCTTATTCCTCTTCAAAGATTACTGTTGCTTCTTCCCAGTTCACTTATTATGTGTTGAGTCAGTATTGCCATGCAAGAAAGTATCATCATGCAAGAAAGACAATCTGGAAGAAAGCAAGTGAACAATGGAGGTCAAAATTCATCTAGTTTGTTTCCTACCTGCAATGAACTGCTTGTTTTTTCGAGGAGATCGGGGCTGTCGCTGGTACAGGTCACTTGATCTATAGAGGTCAATGGTTCCCATACTTAACAGTACTGTCTTCTGTATGAAATCCACTACAACCAACCCAGTGCAGTTTCCAAATGCAACTCTGAGAGAAGGGAAAACAGAACAAAAATGTATCATGAGCATAATTATTTTATCTTTAAGTTAAATATAAGATCACTGGAAAGTAATCTAAGACTGGGGACATGAGGCAGTGATTATTGTTTTAGAGTCAGGAAATCCACTATATATAGGATAGATAGAGTAAACTAACCATGACTGATTACTGTAAAAAATAGGGATGGTCTACAATCATTCTTCATTACAAGTTTTACCATTTAAACTGTGATTAGTAGCATGGTATTTAACTTGATTTTATTGTTTTACAGAATGACATTAATCCTTTTTCCTGTACAAAGGGGTCATAGGTCAAGAAACAGGCACACAAAATAGACAGGTACTTAGGTAAACAGCCAATGGCTTTGCAAATAAAACTGTGATTATTTTGCTACAAATTAATCATTTTTCCCTTTAGCCTTTTTTTCCTATCCTCCTTCTGACTGTTGCTGCTGCATCTTTCTTCTTTCTTCTGCCTTCTTCCTTCTCCTTATCTCTCCTCTTTTTCTTTTCCTCCTCCTCCTCCTTTTTTAGAACAGGGACTCCCTAGGTAACCATGCCCTCCTTGAACTGTAATCTTCCTATATTTTTCTCCCAGGAGACAAGGGTGTACACAACTATTTTTGGCATATATCTAGGGTTTGATATCATAGTAGATATAAAGAAATTCTTCTCATCTTTGTTCATTACTGTCTCCTATATATTAAAAGACAAACACAATTTGACTAATTAACTAGTTAATTAATTAAAGCAACTTTCCTAGGCAGGCATTTTGGTTACCTGAACCATTAGGTATATTAAGTCCCATATGTACCCATTTACAGCATGCTGTCTAGCTAAACACTTAGAAACATTACAAGGTCTTGCTATGGTTATTTATTACTCTCCACAACCTAATGGTAAGATCTTTTGTGGGAAAAAATGCACTAACCAGTTGCCATGACCAGAAATGAATGACAAGAGATAATGCCTGAATTCCTGTAAAATTTCCACCTATTGAAATGAATTCTAGAGAAAGCATGAATATTCCTCTTTTTTAATATGTTTGTAATTTCTCAACTTCTTGGAACTGAGAAATTGAACTGTAAGTAAAGCTTTCATGTTTCCATTCTTTTGTCACTGGGGAAAACAAAACAAACGAAAAAATCCAAAAACCTTTCTTCCTAATACTTGTCTCTTTGACATTATTTTTTCCCCCATGGGATAACCTTCAGACATGAGATCAAACAGGGCAATTCAACACTAACAGAACAATGCAACATACAACAATAATGTCTTTTGGTGAGAAGAAAAGGACAAGTGAAAGCAGGTGGAGCTGATCATCCTTAAATCTACCTTGTCAGAAAATCTGAAACACTTATCTCCACACTACCATAGATCAAACTCAGGGCCTTCTGCGTACTAGACAAATACTCCACCACTGAGCCATATCCCCAATCCTCCACAAAACTTTATTTAGAGAGTCTTGCCCAAGGTAGCTTCAACTCGGTGTGTGGTCCAGATAGGCCTTCCTTCACCTTGTGACACTTCTGCCTCACCTTTCTCAGTACCAGGGGTAGCAGGCTTAAAGGAATTCTTAAAGCTTAAAAGAATAGATGACAATTAGACAAATTGTAGTATATAAATGTTACCAATGAAGTATAACATTAATTGGTAAAGGCAAATTTATATTCAAATTCATAATAGTCTGATAAGGAAACAACAGTATATAATTCAATTCAAGTGTAAGATAAAGGTAAAAAGATAAGCTTTAAACTATAGTTAAAAATTTTGCTGAGTTGGTCATGGGGGAACAGGAAGTTAAGGGAGTGGGGGTAGAAGAGGGGGAAGAGGGAATCATAGGATCGAATAGAGATCAGGCACCAGAGCGACCTCGAGTGATCTAAAGGGATAACACCAATTGGCAAGCTAAGCAATAGTGGAGAGACCACCTCGAATGCCCATTCCTGATAATGAACTTGATGCCTATAACCATCCGGGAGCCTTCATCCTGTGACTGATGGAAGCAGAGGCAAACACACAATTAATCACTGAACTGAACCCAAGGAACCCAGTGACAGAGAGAGAGGAGTGATGAGCAAATTGGCAAAGAATGGGCTGGCAAAACCAGCAGAGACAGCTGATCTGAACAGGGGAGAGCTCTTGGACCCCAGAGTGACAGTGGGGAGGCCAGCATGGGACTGATCTGGACCCCCCCAAATGTGAGTGTCAGTGAGAAGGCCTGGGCAACTTATGGGGCCCTGAGCTGTGGATCAGTGTCTATCCCTGGTACACAATCAGTCTTCGTGTGCCTATAGCACAAAGAGGGATGCTCTCTCAGCCTGGACTCTTAGGGGAGTGCCTGGACCCTATCCAGAGTAAAATGACAGACTCTAGATATCCCCTATGTGGAAGGATTTGGCAATAGGGTGGGAGGGTGGGGGGGGAAGGGGAGTGCGGGAGGAGGGGAGGGAGAGGGAACTGGGATTGACATGTAAAACAAGCTATTTAAAATTAAAATAAAAAATGATAAAAAATTTTTGCTGATGTACACATAAAAACAAGCAAGAATGAATCTGTTGGGAGCATGGCAGGCAAAGTGTAGAGCTTTGTAGAAATTGAAGCTGAGATGTCATCATGACAGAGCAGACCACATAAGCCTCGGGATAGCCACAAAACAAAAACATATTGTAGATGCACTAAAGATGAAAGGAATCAAAGAATCACCACTACAGAAAATCACCACAGCACAAAGCATGACAGCACAAGAGGAAAAAGGAGTATAGTATCTGGAAAACAATGACGAAAACCACATTGGTAAATCCTTACCTATCAACAATTATTTTATCTGTAAATGGCTTAAATTCTCTAATCAAAAGGAAAAGAGTGACTGAATGGATTTTAAAAAATGTATCAAGATCTGATTATGCTGTATACAAAAGATTCATTTTAACTCTAAAAACATCAGTAGGTTAACAGTCATGGGCTGAGACACAATTCTATGGAAACAGAATTAAAAGAGAATAGGGGTGGCTTCCATAAAACTTTAAGTTTCAAAAAATTAAAATAGAACTATGTGATCTGGTGACCTCATATTTAGGTTTGTATTTTCTAAAATCAGCTATCTTAGAAAATGTGCATTCCAGTACTCACTGTACCACTGTTTACAACAGTCAGAAACAACCCTAGTTTCCACTGATAGACAAACACATAGAGAAATAATAATAGTTTTATTAAGCTGCAAAAATAAGAAAACCCTGTAATAAAATTTCTACTTAAAATTTATATGAAATCATTAAAGACTCAAAATGGTCAAACCATACTTGTTAAAGAAGAACAATGCTACAGACACCACAAGACCTGGTTTCAAAATACATTTCAAATTATAGTTACCTGAATATTATGGTATTATGATAAAATAGATACAAAGACAATGAAATAGAATTGAGAGTGCAGAGATAAGTCCACAAATATGTAGTCAACTAATCCTTGGCACAGGAACTATGAATACAAGATGGGGAATGACAGGGACTAAAAGCTGTATTTACACTCAAAAGAATGAATTGGGACCTTTATTTTACTTCATTCACAAGAGTTAAATGTGTCAAAGACTTAAATGTAAATCCTAAAACCATAAAGTAGATACCTGTTAACATAGGGGGAAAATCTCCTTCACACCATTCTTAGAAATGACTTTTTTGATATGACAATAAAAACACAGATAACAAAAGCACAATTAGCCTGCATTGATGGTACAGTGGTGAGCATAGCTGCCTTCAAAAGCACAAGAGGAATTCATCAAACTTGGAAGCATTTTGCACAACAAAACACATCAGTAATAAGTATAAAAGGCAACCTACAGCATTATAGTAGATGTTTAGAAATATGTATCTAATGAAATATTTAAAATAAATATATAAGCTCCTCATACAAATCCACATTGAAAACACTGCTTACAATGGACAGAGAAATTATCTTTAATTTGACAAATGACCAAAATTCCCAAACTATAATCAATACAAATTATCATTAAGTGATAAGTGAATTAAAATTTTTGTAAATCCATATACTAGAGTACTTGTCAGCAGCAAAGAACATCAAATTATAAATATAAATAAATAAATGCAAAACTTAGTGATAGTTTTGCAAAACTAGCAAATAGGTTATTTAGAGGTGCCTGAGAATAAGGGGTGATTATGGACTGAAAAGAGCCAAATGGCTATGCAACAAAATCTGTATGATCATTGCACTTTCCATGTTTTACAGCAGATTTTCTCAGGCATTCCAACAGTGAAAAGCTGACAAACACAACGTTGGTACAGATCAATGATATTTGACTTTACAACATCAAATATGAGAAGGGGAATTCTCTAGAAGTGCTTATAGGAAAATCCAGAAAATACTGAGGAAAAGCCTAGAGTGCTATAAACAAAGCTTAGTGGATAATTAATTCTTCCAAGAGCTAAATGTCTAGAATGACAGTGAATGGACCCATACTCTGCACATATAAGTAGTATTGATTGAATTTAGTAGCTTATCAAAATAATAATGATGGTGATAATAAAGCATAGTAAAAGACATGAATTTGGGAGGGGGAAATGTCGGGAAGAATAGTGTTTGAGAAGGAAAATGGGGGAGTGAATATGATCATATTATATGCATAAGTGAAGTTATCAAGAGTATAGAAAATTAGAAAGAATCTAGAATACCAATACAAATAAAAAGAAACCAAAATGAAAAAAAAAGAGATAGTGATGAGGTTTCAGATGAAAATGAGGAGGACTCTATTGAGAAGTAGATGAGAGAATATTTCTGTCATGATGTGGATATATCATACTTTGGATATATTATTTCTGTGTCTTTTTCCCATGAGACTTTGCAGGAAACTGATGCTAACAGTGATGAATTAAAATGTCACAGTTTATACTGCAGAACATTTAAAGGCAGAAAAACAAGAAGGCAGTGACAATGGATGCTTTTATCCAATTTTAAAGTAAGGATTTGGAACAA